GCATGTACATGACGTTATCTGAGATAGCTGACTATAATGTTTTCAACTTTTTCTCTCTTGTTTGAAACAGTTCTCAATGTATTTTGCTATTTGTATTATTGTTTTCTCATCTTTATTATTTAAAATATATTTTAATTTTTCTTTATTGTTTGCTAAGTGTTGGGGTGATAACAGCTGATAAAGTTTTTTTGTTTCTCGCGTGTAGAGATCACATGTTAAAAGAAAATGTTCTTCGTCCTCTATGGCGTTATTTTCACAACATAGACATTTTCTGTCAGATATATCTGTGTTGTTATATTTCCCAGTCTCTATTTGTAGTCTGTGAGCACTAATCCTCAATTTTGTCATTGATGACCTGTGATGAGTATTTTTGACTACGTGTAAGCAGTTTTCAAAGCCAAAATCTGTTTTCAGTTCTCTGTAAGTGCGCAATTTATTTTTGTGATTTTTCCTTTTGTTATCATTGTCTAAAATCTGTTTACAATTTTTTTTCAAACTTAGTTTTTAGTTTTTCTGATATTATTTTATCTATATTTACATTGTTCGCATTTTGCTTTTTTTCTTCCTGCCACAAATGGTCCATATCTATAAGTTTTAACCTGGAAACCCAGTTGTAGGTGCCAGAGTTGTCTAGTTCTAAGCCGAGACTGTATGCTTCATATACCAGCGAATTTTCAGGCATTTTTTTTATTCAAGACCAGTATTTGATCATCTGTTTTATCCCTGTTGTAATTAATGGATACCTTCCTAATTCTAAAAGACATGCCACATATGATTACCATGTCCCGGATTTTTTGTTTGGAATATTGATCAATGTTGGTTTCCCAATAATGAATTCAAGAAAGTACTGACATCTGTCACTTAACAGTATCAGCTTAGACAGAAAAAAACTGACAAAGGCAAGATGGTGGACGAAGCAAGATCACCAACTATTGAAGAAAAGTTAGCCTTTTTTTGTGAAAAGGTGAATACTCTAATTTCTATGTCAACAAAACTAAAAGAAGTTCAGAAGTCTGTGGATTATATGAATTCATTCCTTGAAGACTACAGAAAACATATGGCAGATCTCCAAAGTGAAAATAAGGCATTGCGTGGGAAACTGGTGTCAACAGAGGACAAATTGAAAGTGGTACAAAGTGAGCACAGATGATATTATAATCAAAGTTGCTGATTTAGTCAGTGTAAAAGTATCTGAGACCAACATCGATATTAGCCACCGATTACCACAAAAACACGACCAGTCATCTAGTATTATTGTCTGTAGAAGTGTCATAAATAAAATATACAGGGCAAAGAAGAATTTATACAGCAAAACAACATTGGACTTAAGCATTCCAGAACTACGTCGATCAAATAACAGAATTTAACTATTCTAAGAAGCCACTAGCAAATGCAAATTGGCAAAATTACAATATTTGTGGACAGCGAATGCAAAGATTTATGCAAGGAAAGAAAATGGATCTCCTGCAGTGAAAAACAACTCCTTACAAGATGTACAGCGTAATGCTTAGTTTGTTTTTGTTTTTTTAAGGTAACCATCTCTATTTTATACCCCCTGCATAGTTATGAACATTGACTCACCATCCCCACTCCAATATCACTGCAGTTCTTACTCATGCAATGAATCCTAAAATAGACCACCTGATTTTAAGCTCATTCCTACATTTAAATATTAGATCTATTTCCAAAAATTTCAATGACTTTAAATATTTTAAAGCATAACTTCCTTTTCATAGGCCTCAGTGAAACTTGTTTAAACTCAAGCTAATTCAAACTTGTGTCTTTATAATATACCAAGCTATAATCTAATCACTTGTAACAGAGAGAGCTCACAAGGTGGAGGAGTTGCACTATAAATTCACAGCTTTTTTAAGCGCATTAATGCATGCACTGTGAATCAATTTTTGTTGAAACTAAAAACAGCAATAGCAAACTCATCATTGGTGTTAATTACCATATCATGAATATCTTGACAGTCTAGAGGCATGTCTTAACCAGCTAGCTGTCCACTAATGGTAAACATTGTATAATCCCTGGTGAAGTGAACATTGATATTTCAGTTAAACCGACATGTGGACTATAAATGGAACGCTAAACAATGGAGATTAGTTTGTTACGCGTCCTGCTGCTGTACACAGCTCGGGTAATTGTTCAGTAAATTGCTTTTTTCGGTGTACTTCCGGTCACTATGTCGTACTAAAAATGGATAGGTGTGACTATGAATAGTCATGTGACGTTACGATTGTGATCCCAAATAGCGTGTACGTTTAGATTTCCATCAAGTAATGACAGAAATGACCATGGATCAACCAACGCATTACTAAATGGACAACTGTCAATCAAAGTCACATGACACAGTCAACATACCCCATGATGAGCTGGCTAACTTATCCAAACATTTAGTTAGTTTATAATCCAAATCTGCTTATCTATGTAGTGGATTCAGTGAAAACAAAGGAGTCTCAGTCAGAACAAGACTCCGAGAGCAAGAAAATACATTTATTTCCACAGCTTTGAAACACTGGAAATATTCACGTGTCCGAAATATCTGCTGTTCTTTTCTGCGGTCATTTTGCTTTTCCATTCAGTGTTACGTTTATTTGTGTTGAAAATGTTCGATTAAAATCTGTTGTGAACCAAAATGAAGGCTAGTTTACAGTGGTGAGTACTGGGTTCCGGCCGATCGACAACCGGCTAGTGTCCCCCTAGTGTCACGTTACGGTAATATACTTTTTGGTAGATTTACGGCGGGTCTGCGCTGTGTCAGTATCACTGTCATATGCTCATTGAATTCAAATATGAACGACATGATTTTTGTTTCTATTACTCGTCATATAAGTCTGTCTGTATGTTTGTACGTGTGCCAGACAAAATGATGGCAAGATATTTTGATGAATTCAGTTATTTGAATCCATAATAAATTATCATGAATCATATTATTTATTTGATATTAGTCTACACCGTATTGTAATATTTGTGACTATGAATATACTAGCCATGGACTCGGTGGTGGTGCTGGTATATGGTTCGATATATTTTCATGTTTATTGACTAGCTAATAATGCATGGCCCGGGCCCCTATTTGAACGAAATGCTGATCACCTCGCTGGCAAACAATTCGATAAAAGGTTGTGAGTACCATGATTTTATTCTCAAGTGCGATATGATAAAATCCTCTGGAGAATCCCTCTTTGGAGTCGTCACAGTCCCTCTATCATAGAGGGACTGTGGAGTCATGGATTATTTGAAAACAGCATTTTAACATTGTATTATATTCATGAGAGTGTCTGCATAAACCTTTGCCTATAGCATTCTGGTGTAAAAACAAATGTTTCAACTGTATGACTCTTTACCGTGGATATCATAACATGTAGTGAAAATATACATTTCAACTTTTATTTTGGCGCATAACCCGTGGTTTTGTTTGTTTCCCCCAAGGCAAGCCGTTTTTAGTCTTGTTGACTTCCTGTCTGACATATACTTGTGATTGCATTGAAATGCGTTTCCGTGTCAATTTGTGTGCATTACGTAATGAGGCATTTTGACACCCATGTTGAAAACAAATCTGACTAAGTGACATTCGGATAAAAAATAAATCCAGCAAAAGTCCAATCGATTGAGTTGGCAGTTAGTTACGACAGACTGCCCCTTGAATGCATTCTTTTTTCAAATACATTTCAGAACATGGATATATTTAACATCGGTGAGAATGTTTTAAAAGAAAATAATAAGCGTGTTAGAAAAAATTTAAAAAATAATAACTTTTTTCCACGGCGTGGCACAGTTTACTGCAAACTGCACTTAGATTTGCTTTATAATTACAAAAATGTCATCACTCATACATGATTTTATTATAACTCGTTCATACAAGTACGGTAGGCTCTTTTATACTGCTAAAAATGAGTCGTGCAGCCGAGAAAAAGCTTGCACACAGTTCATAACTTATCCACAGACAGTCAAAATAATAATGGGTGATGTATGGGTCTCACAGTCGCGCGTATCCCAAATTGTTCGGGATCACTTGATGATATTTACTTACGCTTTAGAAAAAATATTAGTTACTTGTTGGGCGTACATAATTATCATCAAGAGACTATATAACCCATACACAATTTGGGATACGCGTGACTGTGCTATTACACTCAGTATACAAAATAAAAAAAATAAGAAAGATACCAACTTCGACATACTACAGGCACGTCACAAATTATCCAATTTTCATTCTCGATTAATCCGTTCCGGGACTCCACTGTACTATAAACAAACAACGGAAGTCATAATATTCTTATATCGATCGCTATTTTATTTGTGAACAAATTACAAACATCGATATTCTGTCAAACTTTGAAAATGACGTCCGCTATCGGTTTTGCCAATTCTTGCTATCATATGAGATATATTACGAATATTTCTATTGTCTGAAATTTGCGGTTGCGCCAACTTTAGATGAACACACAAGATGTCAGCAAGGGCATTATTCGTGTTTATCGTCGTGATCGATTTATTACCATTTCCACGTTTTACTGACTACCGTGACCCCGATCCGGACTATATATGATCGTAGGTATTTGTGTTTTTCGATTTGGGCCATTTCCCCTTTGGTTCTAAACGCCATTTTGTCCGTTTGTCACTTTACCATGTATTGTTTGAAAGCAGTTTATTCATGTCAATGTGGCAATGAGAGTGATGATTTATTGCGAATTCCCTCACAAAAGGTTTTCAACTTGTAGTTTTGACGCAGTTCATGTAATAAATATGCCTGAATACAAATCTCCATGCTCCATTTTTTAAATATTTGTTATCGTGTTTGAATGTGTACTGCGTCTTCTGTGGTGAAAAACAACAATGATACAATGTAAGCCTGTAGCTTATTCAGCTGTGTGTACGTCTCTCGTCAGCACTGATTGTGAATTTATATGCGTGTCATCCCCACAGAAATCACACCATGTCAATTATTATACTTATTTCTTGACAACATCAACCACGAACACAGTTGTTATCATGCCGACATGTAAAATTGAGTATGAGCGAATTTTCGTTCTATTCACCGGCAAGTAAGTCGATGATTTTTGAGAGAGTTTATGTTCTATTTCGGTCATTCTTTTGTTTTCGTCTATGCCAGAAAATAAACAACGACGGAAGCATACATTCGGACTTGAGGACTCGTTGAAATACGAATTTAAATACAGTTTAATCTGCTTTCTGGCCTGAGAAACGCATGATATTTCATAGATATCGTACACTACAATGTAACTAAATTTATGGCTTGATTGCTCCGGGCGATTTCTGTAACATGCGAATATAACCCGGAACCACGGTCACTAAAAAAGACCGTGCCCGAACTATACGTCTTCAATGTAATCACGGTGACTAAACCGTGATGTAATGGATCTCAGTTTGCTATGTTTGTAAATATACCCAAAGGATTACGATGTTCTGTAAACACACACTGTGCTGATAACGAGAAATTAATTAACACTAGACATTATGCATAGCCACTCCCCAATAAACATGGATTATCTTGCGGCCCGGCCGCAAGACATGGGCCTTTAACTTTACTTCTGCTACTTATTATCTTAACCTCCTCACTACATATAACCACGGTTACTAGAAGAACGGTTAGGAAACTCTATTGTTAGATATGCTAATTAACATTGACTTCACTTTGATGCGTGTCCAACCACTATGACGTTCGTTTTCTATGCAAGTCCACTAAATTGAAGAAATAGAGCTCATTAAGCCGAAAGATCAACGTATAAGCGTCATCAACTTTTGTGTGAATGTTGTGTGATACTCAGGGTTTCATTGTTCCCGAAAAAAAAGAAAATAATGATAAGTTTGTTTTGTTGACAAATTTGCCATCTGTGAATCAAATTTGACCATGGCATTTTGTACACAAAAAACTGTCTGGGAATGTTCTAAAATGTTAGTATTCGTTACTACTTATTGTTTGGTTTTTTAATGTTGGGTTACGAATAACATAACTAGTTTCAATCGTGACTTTAGACAATAGCACTTTTTTTGTTAGCGACGTCAGCCATTTTGTCTGTCTTTGTTTGGTTTGGGAAAAGTGCTGAAAAGTCGAATTATTAAATTAATATTTATAGTTTACATTGTTATCATTTCTGTGAGTTAAATACTAGTTTGATGTAGAAAATGTTCATCGTTTCAGTAGATCTAGTTCTGCTGATGTCCAAACATGGCGATGAAGATTTGTACCCCAAAAAAGAATCTCTGAACGTTTATTTTGTACATTGAATTATAATCTGAGAGTCTTTTATGAGAACTCTATGATAGTTTAAACAATGTTAGTTTCATTTTATCGAAGTCTGCAGACATTTTGGAAAAAAATATTTATTTTAGTAAATATTTAAAATTTGGCTCAGAAGTCCTAACAGGGGACTTCAATGCACGTACCAAACAATTCAATTTTGACAATTTAATATTTGTTTCTACAAATACAGTCAATTCCATCAAAAAATGAGCTTCTCAAGACATCTACGTTAAGAACCAATATGGCAATAAACTTTTAGATCTACCTGGTATGTATTGCCACAGACACTGTCATACTTAATTGAAGATCTTACTGGTAAGTACATGTGTTACCAGAGCTCACTATCAATGTACACAAAACACATTATATGTTAATTAGTACACCACAAAAGTCATTTACCACAGTGGGAACTTTAAGCATTGGGGGGTTACCTGGCATAATATTTTATCAGCATCTAAACTGGAAAACCCATATTGGAAAAATAACAATTTTGTACATAACATAGATTTTTACCTTCACCCCATGCCCCACGATTACTCAGCCCGCCTGGCTACAAACGACAATTATTAAATTCCCAAAACGAATTTCACATCGAAATTCACTAAAATACATAGCAGCAAAACATTGGAACTCTCTCGACACTGAAGTAAAAAATGAAATACACAGATATGGTTTCAAATTCAAATTAATATCCCACCTCCTAGTAAATAATTAGTATTGATTTTCTTTTCATTGATGACGTTATACTTTACCCTGATTTGATTTGATTTAATTTTAAATTAGGCCAGACTATTATTATCCCTCATTTCGCGAACCCGCCGAATGAACAGGAGCCGAAAATGAAATAAAAATAACATTTTATTTCAGCGTAATTTCTCGCGCCCGCCGAATTTATAGGCGCAAACAATTGCTAACAAAATATTATTTTTATTTTCATTTTTTTACCACCGCCGCATTCTAAATCCAAGTTGCATTTTCGTGGAAGTATCATGATCAAAGTACTGAAGTCTCACGCAGATGAGAAACAAGGTTATACATGGAATAAAATTTTGACTTTTAATTGCTTATTTGTAGTGAAAATTCATTCATTCATTCATTCACTTCTTCACTCTCTGTCCAAAGAAGTCAGCATTACCTTTTTCACATTAACATTTTTTCACTTGCAATCATAGTCCTTCCATCAGTGTGTAGTTGAAAATGCTTAATACACATGTACATGTTTCTCTCACTTTTTCCACACACACACTTCCTTTCCATCTCATGATGTACATTAATAGGGAGTATCAGAACAAGTATCATAAATCCAAATCATGTTAACAAGAGATTGTATTTCAAGCAGCGTTTAC